TCGCAAGACACGATTAACAGTACCATTGCCCGATGGATGGCTTTCATCGACCAGTTTGACTTTTTCCCCGATCACATTCCCGGAAAGTCAAACCGTTTTGCGGACGCCCTCTCACGACGACCGGATCTTTGCACCGCAGTCTACTCTACCTTCGAGATTGACGGTGTAGCTCGCCGAACGGACGATGGTTGCGTGACTTGCAACGCCGACAAACTTCGCATGACTCATAATAGCGGGAGGCGTCCTTGAGAAGGTCGGGCCAATAGAACCGCTGGCGAAGTCGGCCAACTGTACGGTTGACACCAAAATGTCCGGAAACAGGCCAAGTACTTTTGCAATTACTTGAAATGCGTCTGGACAATATAATATTTCGTTTAGGAATGGCACCTACTATTCCTGCAGCACGTCAACTGGTTAATCATCGCCATATTCTAGTCAATGACTTTACAGTAAATATACCTAGTTATTCTTGTAAATTAGGAGATAAAATATCGATCCACAAACATTTCGAATCTAAAACAAATATTTTTGCCAATTTTACTCGATCTCCTTCATTGAAAGTTCCAAGTCACTTGACCTTGAGTCCTTGTGGGTGGCGAGCCGAACTCGGCTTCAACGATGAGCCCCATCGTTTGACGAGGGCGACCCAAAAGTCGAAGAGAAAGCGAGTGTCCCGGTCGCAAACAATCTCCTTGGGGTAGCCCTTGGAGCGGATCCAACCGGTGTATAGGACCTCGGCTAACTCCGGTGCCTTTGCGTGATAGCGGCAAGGCAAAAACATGGCGTACTTGGTGAGGCGGTCGACGACCGTGAAGATCCCATCAACGCCGGTCTTGTGCGTTGGGAAGGGGCCGGTGATTTGAGCATGGTTCACCCATCTCATCGCCGCAAGACGCCATTTTGCCGCGCACAGCCGAGAGCGACGACCATCTTGCGTTCCTTCGTCGCATGCAAGAGCTCCTTGTCAAGGCACGAGATCAGATGTCAAAGACGCAAATACGGATGAGCCGCCAAGCCAACCGCAATCGTCTTCCTTGCCCRTTCCGCGCCGGCGATCTGGTTTGGGTCTCCGCCGCGGAGTTCAGCCTTGAACAAGACATCTCTCGCAAGCTCCTTCCCAAATGGATGGGGCCTTGGCGCATTCTCTCTGCAGTTGGTGATGATCCCGAGGGGCCTTCATTCCGCATCGCGGTGCCACCTCACTTGCCCGTCCACACGGTGTTCCACTGTTCCAAACTCGCTCCTTTTGTTTCGGCAGAATCCGACGAGTTTGCCGGTCGACGTACGCAAGACCCTCCTTCCATGGACGGATTTCAGGAGGCCGGCTACATCATCACCGACCGGCGCCATGGCAACAAGGAAACGGGGTTTCTACTTCACTTTACCTACTGCAGCCACAAGGCTGACCGTTGGCTGACGCGTTCGGAACTGCAGGCCACCGCCCCCGCAGTTCTCTCACGTTATTTAAGCAASGAGAAGACTATGCCGGGCACTTCAGCTCCCCGGCCTCCTCGCTACGTTCCGCCATCAGATCGGCAGCTTCGCTCGCGCCCCGGCTCATCTTCATAAGGAGGGGGGCTTGTTACATGCTGAGAGCCTCCACACGGGCCCCTCACGGGAC